CTGCACACGTCACGTGTTCTGGTGGCTCTTTGCAGAGAGGCAGTGGAGGAGGGCCCCCTGTTAGGGCAGTGCAAGCTTTGGGATACTGCGTTCTACTTTCAAGCTGTATCTCCCAATTTGGGCTTCAGTGAATATAACAAGCATTTTTAAGACTATCCAGAATTCTGTTTCAGAGTAGATATTACCTTGGATTTCTCTGTTGGAGGCAATAAACCCATAATTTTGACCCGAAACTGCTTTTTACTCAATTACCAGATTAAGCTTTGATATATGACAGTGGATTGGGACCACCGAGCTTCCTGGAAGCTTCACGAAGGGGTGGGGGGTGCAGAGCCCAGGTGAGTTCACACAGTGTGTGTGGCTTACACTCAGAGCCTAGGAAATGTTTGTCTAACGCCCCGACCTCAAAGCCTGGATGCTCCCCCAGTGCAGGATTCACTGCTCAACACTCAGGGAAGAGAGGAAACCCACTGGCATCGAGTTTCCACAGAGGGGTGTCTGGAGGGCTCCCGATGGTGGAGTGTGAGACTTGATCTCGGGGTTGTGAGTTCGAGCCCCACATTGAGTGGGGATTTTTTTTTTTTTAGTTTCCATAGAGATCTGAAAAAGATCCAGAAAATGGAAAAGGGTAATCTTGCAAGTGTGAGTGTCCATTCTCTGTACAAGGCCTTGTGCGGGCCTGGGGACAAAGGTGGGCCTGGAGCCTGGTCAGCGGTAGGGACTGACCACAGGTCCTGAGGGTGGACGGCTGCTCTGGGCGCACAGGGTCCACACACCCCAGCCTGCCAAGAGCTGGGCTGAGGGAAGCAGAGCAGAGCCACCATCCATCTGCCACCTGGTTTCGTAGGAGGTAACAATGGTCTTTAAATGGCTGAAAGTGATTTTGTGACACATGAAATTAAAATTTCAACACCAGTAAGAAACTTTTACTGGAACGTGACTGTGCCCCTTGATTCACGTAGCGCCCGGCTGCCCTCAAGCAACAGTGCCAGAGCCGACAGCACCCTTGTGACCTGCAAAGCTGGTGCGGCCAGTCCCGGCCGGCACCTGCCATGGCGGCTCTGCAGAGCAGCAGGGGAGTGGAGGGAGGGGCAGCGTGGTCAGCGCCACCGTGTCGTCTGCCAAGGATGGGGGACGGTGCTCCGCCCCCACCGTTGCTGACTGGAAGCAGCAGCACAGAGGCGCCTTCTGGGAGGCGGCTCGCGAGTGGGCAGAGTGTCCGGACCCGCCAGGAGCAGAGGGTGTGTGTGACCAGATGCCGTACCTTCGAGGGGCCCAGGGCCGTCCCAGGGGACTGCAGAGTGGACGCACCAGCACAGCTGTGGAGACAGACTTCCAGACCACCCCAGCCAGGGGCACAAGGACGAGGGGGATTGGGCCTCTGTGCCCCTTGGGCAGAGAAAGGAAGTGCTAATCCGGGTGCCTGCCCACTGGGCGACTCCTGGAACTCCGCGCCTCCATCGGCCCACCTGGGAGTGGAAAAGGGCCTTCCCCCTGCAAGCGCCGAGGGGCTCCGAGGGAGCGCTCTGTGCTCCGAGGGCCTCTCGGGAAGGGGCTGTGCGTGTTCTCACAGATGCCAACAACGGGGTGGCCTGGGAAGTGCCTCTCCTCTGCTCGGCATATCATTTAGAACCGTGGAGGCCCAGCCACGTGGCCCTGTGGTGGTGGCAGAGCTCGGAGCACTCGCCGGGACATGTAAGCCTGGCTCAGACCCTAGGTCTCTATTCCTGGTTGCACCGGCCAAATTCCAGTAATCTTGCACAGCGGAAGCCCCTAAATCTCAACGGCTCACAACCCTAAAGGTGTGTCCACAGGAGCCAGCAGGGAGAGCCTCTTGAAGCCCCCCCAGGTGATCCTGCCCCTCCAGCAGGCCTCCACGGTCACTCTGGCGGTCAACAGACGGAGGACGCTGCCAACAGTGCAGTCCCGTCCAGGTGGGGAGGGAAGGCTGACCACACCGGCTCCCCCATCAGCTGTTTGACTTAGGGCAAGCCTCTGACCTCCGTCAAGCGGGGAAGCTTCAACCTGTGAGTTAGTGGGTGGACACACGTGCAGGATGGAGACCGGTGTGCAGTGCCTGCTGTTAAACCCGTTAACAACCCTGCGCTCGCGGCTGCGCTGCCCAGGGACCGGCCCGTAAGGGGTGATGGAGAAACCCGTACTGAGAACGGACTTTGGGTCACAGCTGGCCGATGATGTCAAGGGCTTTAAAATGTTCACATTCTGCCTCCTTCGTTCCCATTTCCAAACGGTTTCAGTACATAAAATGGTTTTACCACTAACCAGCACTGTGATTTTTAACAACACAGCCTCTGTGGTCTGTGTCACCCCCTCCCCTCCAAAATCTGTATGTTGAAACCCTAACGCCCAGTGTAATGGTCTGAGGAGCTGGGGCCTTGGGGATGTGATTAGGCCATGGGTTCAGAGCCCCCAGAGCACTCCCTCACCCCCGGAACCTTGTGAGGACACGGAGAAGTCTGCACCCTGATTCCGGACCATCAGCTCCAGAGCTGGGAGAAATGAACGATGTTGAAGCTGCCCAGCCTGTGGTGTTTTGTTTGTTGTGTCTAGAGGGACACGGCACACCCGCCAAGGGGAAGGGCACGTTCGGCCACCACTCGCACCAGCAGTCACACCCGGGAAGAGAACGGAGCTGCCACACACACACGCTTGCTGTCTGTGGGCAAAAGGACTTTGAAATTCCTTTTTCTTAAGTTTGTTTTTACTTTTTTTTTCCCCCAAACGTATCCTGAGTTTGTATTCCCTGAACATGTCTAAGGGTCACGACAGACATACTTGGCACAGAAGGCCTCCATCACTGGGTGGGTGGACATGGTGCTCAGCAAGTACGTGGGCCAAACGGCAGCTTGGATGGCCCAGTCCAGCTCCCATCCTCGGAGCAGCGGGGCCCCGGATGACCGCGGATGCTGCAGGAGACAGAATCCGCGCCCCTCAGTTGAGCCAGGCCTGGGCCCCACCTGGGGCTCCACCTGGGAGCTCAGCCTCTGAAACCCTACCTCTGCGTGCGCAGCCCCACGCCAGCTTGTCCTCAGTGCCCCACACCCACACTGCCATGACCCTGACTCTGAGGGAGAAGGATTAACTGAGAAGGTGGGAGTGCTCTGCCCTCGATGGGGCCCCGATGGGGCCCCGGCACAGAGCAGGAGGGCAGGAAGGGGGTTCTGGGAAAGGGCAGGGCTCATGAGCTGTTTTTCAGGGGAAGTTCCTGCAGGCTGCTCAGGCCTATTTATCCTACAAGACTTGTGAGCTGGTTGCTTAGCGGAGAGACCATGGAGGTGGGGACACCGCCAGGGGAACACAGACTGACAGCAAACGTCTCTGCAAAAAGCAGGACCCACGTCCCCTACCTGGGGGCCAGTTATGCTGGAAAGTGCAACACTGGCCACGGGCCTGAACACTCCCACCCTGGAGGCACCCAGCAGAGATCCCGCTCTCCTCCACCCTGCACTCTCACTGCCAAGTACTGAATTGTGTCCCCCGCCAAGTTCATGTTAAAGCCCTAACCCCCCGTGTGACTGTTTATGGAGATGGGGCCTTCAGGGAGGTGATTAAGGTTAAATGGGGTGGGGCTCCGACCCAACAACAGGACCGGTGTCCTTAATGAGACGAAGAGAGAGCTCTCTTCTCTCACACATGCATGTGGCCTGAGGAAAGGCTGTCTGCAGGCCTCTGACCGGGACCTGACCCTGCTGGGACTCTGATCTCGCACTGCCAGCCTCCAGAACCGTGAGGAAATAGAATTCTGTTGTTAAAGCCACTCAATCTAGGGTATTTTGTTATGGCAGCCCGAGCTGCCTGAGACACCCACTCAGGGGATCCCAGGAGAGGCCCCTGTCCCCCTGTCCCCGACTCCACCTCAACCCTGGCAACAGCCTCTCCACCACAGGGCTCCCAACCCCTGCCCTTGTGCTCTACTGTGCTCGCAACACAGCAGCCACGGAGATCCAAGGACTAGAGCCCAGGACTAGAGCAACTGTCAGATCACACTGCTCTGCTCAGAGTAGAGCCGAAGTTGTTACAGAGCCCCTGGGGCGTGCCCTCCACACCCTCTACTCACCCCTCACCCAGCCACAGCTGCTCGGGCTGTGCACCAGGAGCTGCTGCTCCCACCCCTCAGACTGCTCTGCTCCCTTACCTCCTTCAAGTCTTTGCTCATATACCGTGTCCCCACCCCATGACCCAATTTAGGATGACAGCCCAGCTCTTCCATAATCCTGCCTCCCATCCTGGGACCCTGCTCTATTTCTTTTCTTTCTTTCTTTTTTTACTTTAAGATTTTATTTATTTATTTGAGATAAAGAGAAACAGGAGTGGGGGCTAGGGGCACTGAGCGGGGAGCTGGACACAGGGCTCCATCCCAGGACCAGGAGATCATACCCTAAGCCCAAGGTAGACATTTAACCGACTGAGCCACCCAGGTGCCCCTCTTTCTTTTTCCTTTTGTAAATATTTATTTTAGAGAGAAAGAGAGCGCGAGTGGGAGGAGGGACACAGGGAGAGAATCTCAAGCAGACTCCTTGCTGAGCAGGGAGTCTTGATCCCAGGACCCTGAGATCATGACATGAGCCGAAATCAAGAGTCAGATGCTTAAGAGACCAAGCCACCCAGGGGCCAACCCCTGCTCTGTTTCTGCACCACTTACCCTCCTCTGAAAAGCTTTGCCAGTCATTTTGTATTATGCATTTTGTAACGTCTCCCCCTCACCACTAGAATGTTGGCTCCATGAGGTCAAAGATATAAGACAGGAAAATGAGATGTCCACACTAAAACAAAGGGTTCACAAAAGCTAATAAGCAGATGCTACATGAGGCCAGGCCAAGTGACCACACAGTGTCCACAAAAAGGCCTTGACCTGGACACCCGATAGCAACCAAACCAGAACCACACATGGCCCCCCCACAGCAGCAGGTGCCCTCACCCAGTAATAAAACCAATAGCCAGGGGAGGGTGTGCAGTCTGATGCCCACCCAGGAGGACGCTTTTTTTTATAGTTGCTTTATTTCCAATAAAAAGGGAAGATCCAGCTTTCTCAACGGAACAGACAATGACATGATTACATTCAAACATCTCAGGAATGCCTCCTGGAAGGGCAGGCTTTGTTTGCGGACACCTGTCGGAGCCAACTCTCCCCAGGTGACTGCAATGGGCTTGCAAGCACGATCAGTCCTGCAGTTTGAGCTCACACCTCTTCTCCAGGTCGGCCATCTCCTTGAGGACCAGGGCCACACTGTACCGCAGCTCCTGGAACTTGGCTGTGGGGATCTCAAAGCGGAATGCCGACCCATCTGAAAGCTTCAGCTGCATCAGGACACTTGGCTGCAGGGAGCGGGCCAGGGCACTGGTGGAGATTGCCACGTCCACCCTCCACCACAAGCCGGCAACATGGGGCAGCCAGGCCCCCTGCTGCCCGGCCACAGAGTTGAGGAGAAGCCGCTGGCTCCCAAACACCACACTGGCCAAGTCCGTGACCAGGTCTTGGGGGATGCAGAGCTCCTGGAGCTGGTCCTTGAAGGCGTCAGGCTTCAGGCTGGCTGGGGGCAGCCGGATGGCCTGCTGGAGCAGTGTGTTTGTGCCGGCAAGGAGGACACCCAGCCGTTCCTCCGACAGGTCTGCTCCAGCCCTGAGGCGCTGCACAGCCTCCCGGCAGTCCTCTCCCTGTAGACTGCTGACCACCAGCTTCAGCAACTTTCTGAACGTGCCCCTGTCCAGGTCTCCCAGGAGTCGGGGCATTGCTGCCACTTCTGGGGGGAGCTGGGCCCCCAGGAAACTCACCCGGCCACTGTGGCTATCACCAGGGTAATGCAGGTATGGAGCTGCAGTCCCCAAGCCAGACATTGCTGCTTCCTCCTTTTTGATCAAGCAGCCCAGAAGAAAGGTCTCAGCTGCAACTGCCAGGGGCGGGGAGAAGAGAAGTCCAGTAACTCCCGTGTGCTCTGGGCCAGAAAATGAGGACTTCAAGATGCTGACAGCATGAACCACCTGTGACAGCCAATGCAATGGGAGGTGCCCTGAGAGCAGGTGGCAGATGGGCCCACTTTAATCCCGGCAAGAGACGAGCTGGCAGGGAAGGGAGGCAGGGTGGGCAGGAGAAGAGAACCAGAAAACAGGAGAGGACACATAAGCTCTCCAAATACATAATGGAGAAAAGAGTGAAGGAGAAGAGAAGTCCGGAGAACACAGGGCTGTAACAGCCACTGCTGCTGCCGGCCACCACACTAAGCTCAGTCAACCGTGCATCGCACAACGGCTCTGCGGGAGCCGACAAGGAAACCGAGGCTCCAACACGACTGCCCAAGGACTAGAGCCCAGGCCTGTCCATCGAAAGTCCCCACCGTTTCCACAGCACAGGAGAAACCAGACACAGGCAGGCGGGAGGGGCACGTGACAAGAGGTACCGTGGCACCTGGAGAAAAGCTCGGGGTCAGTACCCGACGGTATAACGTCACGACACATCTCAGGTGACCAAGCCACACGCACAGGACAGAGCTCGGCGGAGCACAGAAGGGTCCTCACCACACCGCGAAATGGGGCGCGGCGAAGCGCGGGGCAGCCCGGGGGCACAGAGGGGCCTCTACTGGCTGCATCGTACCGCATTCTCCCGGGAAGGCAGGGCCCCCCTCGCCCTGCCCGTCAACGACCACCCACTGCCCAAACGCGGGTGTTCCCCAACCGCCTGGCGCCCGGCCCCCATCAGGAACTGCCTTCCACTGCCCCGGCCGCCCGACGCTCAGACCCTGCTCCCGGGAGGACAGCGTGCTGCCCCCCGGCCCCGAGGAAGCAGCCTACAGAGACCGGCCCGGTCGGGGTCGTGCCCCGTGCTCGCCGGGGAGGCCCTGGCCACCTGCCGCACGGCCGAGCGGCCGCCCACGAGCCGCGGGCCCCGCCGCCGGGCCTCGCCCCACGCAGCCCCGGATCGGCCTCCAGAGCTTCTCGAATGGAGCGGCCAAGGAGCCATATCGCGGTCCGCTGCCTCCGCCCGGAAAGAGGGACCCCACCCCCGTACCCCGAAGTCCGAGACGCCCCCGCACCTGCAGAGCGCGGTCTGGGGCTACGCGGCCCCGCGAAGCTCAGCGGCGCGGCCACACCGGAAGCGGGGCCAGATGCCCGGAAGCGACCCAGAGGCACTTCCTGGCAGCTCTAGGACGCCGGGAGGACCCGGCGCTCTGTGATCCGGTCCTCAGAGCAAGGCGTTTGTCCTGAAGGGGCTGAAGGGGGTCATAGCCTGCGGGATGCACCTGCAGCCATCGTTCTGCGAGGATTTCAAAGGCCCTTCACGGACGGGCGGGTCCCGGTCTCCGCTGGGGGGTCTCTGGGGCGGGACCCTCATCCACCAGGCCGGACCAGGAGGGTCCAGGAAGAAGGCCGGTGGCACAGACCCCAGGGTCCTGGGCAGCCCCCACCTGAGGGAAGTCCAGCCTGCATCCCCCCGCGTGGCTGTGCGTGACGACGGCTGCACAACAGTGTGAATGTGCTTAACGTCTCAATTGTACATTTAAATGGGTGAATTGTATGGTATGTGAATTATACCTCAATAAAGCTGTTATTTTTAAAAGTCGGTGAAAGGGAGGCAAACAACCCAATTAAAATGAGCAGAAGATTTGAATAGATATTTCTCCAAGGAGGATATAAAATGGCTAATGAACGTGGGCAGAAATGTTGGCTGTTGTTGGCCATTAGGGAAAGGCCACAGGGAGGTGCCCTTGCATACTATTAGAAGGGTGATAAGCAAAAGACAAGGCAAGGGCTGAGTGTTTGTGTCCCCCAAAATTCATATGCTGAAACCCCAATCCCAATGTGATGGTATTTGGAAATGGGGCCTTCGGGAGGGAATTAAGTCATGAGGGTAGGGCCCCGTAAACAGGATTAGTGCCCTTTAGGAAGAGGCCACAGGGCAAGCTAGCTCCTTCCACTACGTGAGGGTACAGCCTACAACCTGGAAGGGGGGCCTCAGCCGAACCCGACCGTGCGGGCACCTGATGTCAGACCGCCCGCCTCCAGGACCGTGAGACAGCAGCCTCTGTTGTTTGTTAGCCACCAGTCCGCGGTGCTTCGTTGCAGCCGCCCAGACCAAGCCGAAAACAGCGATGGAGAGGACGTGGGCAACATGAAACCCTTCTGAACGGCTGGCGGGAATGGAGAGGAGAAAAGAGTCCTGCGTTATCTTAAAAAATTAGAACTACTAGGGCGCCTGGGTGGCTCAGTTGGTTAAGCGTCTGCCTTCGGCTCAGGTCATGATCCCAGGGTCCTGGGATCGAGTTCCGCATCGGGCTCTCTGCTCGGCCGGGAGCCTGCTTCTCCCTCTGACCCTCCTCCCTCTCATGCTCTCTGTCTCCCACTCTCTCTCTCACATCTTTTTTTTTTTTTTTTTTTGGGAGAGAGAGAGAATGAGAGAGAGCGAGTACATGAGAGGGGGGCGGGTCAGAGGCAGAAGCAGGCTCCCCGCCGAGCAGGGAGCCCGATGCGGGACTCGATCCCGGGACTCCAGGATCGTGACCTGAGCCGAAGGCAGTCGCTTAACCAACTGAGCCACCCAGGCGCCCCTAAATAAAAAATCTTTAAAAAAAAAAACCAAAACTACTTATATTACTCATATCGACCTTAAAAGTAAAACAGCCAGTTATTTTTTGGCAAAATGGGTTCGTTTGGTGTGAAAATTCATAAAAGGAAAGCTCATTTAGTATGGAGCCAAGCGGCCAGCAGGGGGCGCGCTGACACCCCACCGCTCCTCGGGGCCCTTTGCGTAGCACTTTACTGCCCCGGAAGAAGATTTCCTCCTCCCGGCAGCCCAGCCAATGAGAAGCCGCTCTACTTCCGGCTCCCGGTTTAGTCCAACGGACTTTGAGTTGACGACAGCGCCTCTTTTGCTCTAGGGTTTGTTTTCCTGAATTGCGGTTCTCTGCTGTTCCCAAATAAACCTGTTTTTGCTGGTAACCTAAGGAATAGTTTTATTTTCTATATCTGCTAGCAAGAATCTGTTCCGTTTTATAGTTCAGCAGATTGAATGGACCGCAGTTTGTTTCTTGGCTGGACAACAGCGATCTTTCCAGGGTTTGCCCGTCATAAGTAGATCTGCTGTGAATTTTCAGGTTACAAGTTTTTTGTGTACATATTTTCATTTCTATTGGGTTAGGAATGAAATTGCTGAGTCAGAACAGGCGTATGTTTCATTTTATGAGAAAGTGCATGCCTTTGATTTTGATTTTTTGGAGTGGTTGTATCATTTTATATTCTCATCAGAAGTTTCAAGGAGTCCCAGGTGCTCCATTTCCTTGCCAATATTTGGACCTGCCAGACTTTTAAACATCCATTCTGGTGGGTGTGTGGTGGTGCTTTTCATTTTCGTTTCCCTAATGACGAGTGACACACACTATCTCATGTGCTCATTGGACATTCATGAATCTTTGTAAAGGTATTGGTAAAATATTTTACCTATTTTTTACTGAATGGATTGGCAATTGTTACTATTATTTTAACCATTTTATTGAGGTACGATTGACATGTAAAAAGATGTATATATTTAGTGTATACAACTTGATGAGTTTGGGGATAAGGATTCACCCATGAAACCTAAAGTTTCCTCCCACCCCCTTTATTATTATTCTTGTGCATGTGCAGCCAGAACACTTAACATAAGCTCTACTCTCTTAGCAAATTTTAAGTATACAATACAGTATTGTTGACTATTGGCACTACACTGTATAGCGGATCTCTAGAAATTATTTACCTTGCATAACTGCAACTTTGTACCCTTTTACCATAATGTCCCCATTTCTCCCTCCCCCAGTCCCTGGCAACCATAGTTCTAATCTCTGTTTCTGAGTTTAGCTATTTTAGATTCCACATATAAGGGAGATGATACAGAATTTGTCTTTCTGTGTCTGGTTTATTTCACTTAGCATAATGTCCTCTAGGTTCATTCATGTTGTAACACGTGGCAAGATTTCCTTCTTTTTTGAAGCTGAATAAAATTCCATTGTGTGTATATGTGTATATATATAAATATATATACTATATATAAACAACTATATAGCACATATACTTTGTATATATATATGTGAATATATGTTACATTTTCTTTATCCACTTGGTTGACACACAGTTTGCTTTCGTATCTTGGCTATTGTGAACAATGCTGCAATGGACATGGGAGTGCAGATATTTCTTGGAGATCTTGCTTTCAATTCCTTTGGATAAATACCCAAAAGTGGGATTTTTAATTTTGGGGGGAATCTTCATACTGTTTTCCATAACAGCTGTAGTTACATTCCCACCAACAATGCACAAGGTTCTCTTTTCTCCACACCCTTGCCAACAATTGTTTGGTTTTTTTTTTAAGATTTTATTTATTTATTTATTTATTTGAGAGAGAGAGAGCACAAGCAGGGCGGGGGGGGGTGGAGCAGAGGGACACGGACAAGCCCACTCTGCGTCAAGTGCAGACCCTGACACAGAGCTCAATCTCATGACCCTGAGATCATGAGATCTCATACAGCTCAACAGCAAACAAAACAAGATCATGACCTGAGCCGAAACGAAGAGTCAGAAGCTTAACCAACTGAGGTACCCAGGTACGCTGGGTTTTTTGTTTGTTGGTTGGTTGGTTGGTTTTTGGGTGTTTTTTTTGTTTTTTGGGGGGATTTTGTTTGTTTAGTAATAGCCACCCTAACAACTCTGAGGTTTTGATTTGCATTTCCCTGATTGGTGATATTGAACACCGTTTCATGTACCTGTTGGTCATCTATATATCATCTTTGGAAAAATGCCTTTTCAGGCCCTTGGCCCATTTTTTAATCTAGTTATTTGGGGGTTTTTTGTTTTGTTTGCTTTGTTTTGTTTGCTGTTGAGCTGTATGAGTCCCTCACATATTTTAAATCTGAACCCCTTATCAGGTATGTGGTTTGCAAATATTCCCTCCCCCATTCCACAGGTTGCCTTGTCACTTGTTGATGGTTTCCTTTGCTGTGCAGAAGCTTTTTAGTTTGATGTAGTCCCACTTGTTTATTTTTGCTTCCCTTGCTTATGCTTTTGGTGTCATATACAAAAATTCATCAATGTCAAGGAGCTTTTCCCCTATGTTTTCTTCTAGGAGTTTTATGGTTTTGGGTCTTATGTTTAAATATTTAATCCATTTTTTT